GGAGCTATATCTAAATCTGAACCGATTTACACGAAACTTCACGTACGTCGTTCTAGAGCTAATTCAGTACGCTATGCCATATTTCGCCCAAATCGAAAGATATATATAGGTACTTTTGGTACACCATTTACCTAGAATCGGGCGGAACTATATATGGGATCTATATCTACATCTGAATCGATTTTCACAAAATTTAACACACATCGTTCAAGACTTAATTCAGTACGTTATGCCAAATTTCGTGCAAATCAAAGGATATATAGGGACTTTGGTGCACCATTTACAAAAATATATATGGGACCTATATCTAAATCTGAACCGATTTTCACTAAACTTAACTCATATCATTCTTGACGTAATTGAGTACACTATGCCAAATTTCGTGCAAATCGAAAAATATATATAGGGACTTTGGGGCGGAACTATATATGGGAGGTATATCTTAATCTGAACCGATTTTCACGAAATCTAGCTCACATCATTCTTGACTTAATTCAATACGCTATACCAAATTTCGTGCAAATCGAAAGATATATAGGGACTTTTGTGCACCATTTACATTATATCGGACGAAAATATATATGGGACCTATATCTGAATTTGAATCGGTTTTTCTCAATTTCAGTAGGGTTCGTCCTTGGGCCAAATTAATGAGCTGTGCCTTTTAAATTTCAAGCTCAGAAGGTCTTTAGAAAGATTTGAGGTTAGAAAGGACTCTGATCTATAGTTTATGATCGATTTTCGCAATGTTCTTCCAGAATTCTTTAATTAAAGGCCCCCAGAAGGATTTTTATCTATAGCATTGCAAAAAAAATGTGTTTCTATCTGTGGGAGAACTCCTGTAGGAAGATATAATCCTATGGAAGGCATACTCCTCAAATTTTATTTGCTTTTTAGAAAATCATGTGACAATAAGGGGATTTCATTTGTAGCAGATCTTTTAATTGCATTTTACACGTAGAAGACCGAACTGAGGTATTCGAATGACTGTGAAAAGGAGGGAGTTTTTTTTTTTGGACAGCCTCTGGTCTACTATTTGGATAATTATATCTGGAATTCCTCCATATAATGCCTTTAAACGCCTTGAATCTATTATAGACCACCTGAATGCCTTCTTTTTTACCTTCAGAACCTTCAGAAGTTTTCCATGGAAATTCACCAGAATGACCCACCTTTCATAGAATATTTGTGTAGAGATTTTTAATTCTTAGAGGGCATGTTTTTTGTCGATTGTGTAGAATATTTTGGAAGCACAAGTGCATTAAAGAAGATATTTTGAAGATGTTTCTTTAGGAAACAATCGATCTACAGGTCATTTCTAAAATAAAATTTATTTTATTTAACGTTACAACTCAATTATTTTGGATATCCAATTTTTATTACACCAAATTTTTTGAAAAATTTATATATAATGTTTTTTTCGTCTGATTCTTAAAAATGAATTAACATACACTCTCCTAACGTTGTCATAACATAGTCGATATAAATTTATTACTCATTTTTTTTTTTTTTTTTTTTTACAGAAAACATATATAACACATTGCTGTCATTTTCTGCCTTTCACATTCAATATATGTGAAATGTTTTAAATATTTTTTTTTTTGCTTGAGTGTCTGAAAAATTCCAATTCCCAAAAAAAACGTACCTTTAATTTCGTGGTCAATGTGATTGACCGCAATATGAAACAAACAAACAAAACATAGAAAAACCACATGTGAAAAAAAATATTATGATTTTTCCAGGCCATAGAAACGGAATGACAAAAAACACCTCTATGGAAAATGCTAACATGAAAAAGTGGTTATATATAAAATTGAATTTAATTTATAACGTTTGCTGCTATGAAAATGTTTTACTTGATAGAATATGATGGCATGGACGACACAAAGCATGAAAAGTAACAATGGCAACAACACCCCTACCTCAACCATCCAAGAAATGAAATAACAAATCCAAAATAAAATAAAGAAAAACTAAATAATTTAATTTGAATGTGTGGGGGTTGTACATTCAACAGTTTTTCCCCGATGAACTTCGAAAAAAAACATAGATATTTGTAGGTCCTCTCATCCTTTGTTTTGCCGCAAGCATTTTATGTTTGGATTACGCGGAGTCCTTTAAAAATTATGTTTTTTTTTATATATGAAAAAAAAATCGAATATTTATTTTTTGCTTGGAATCTCTGGCATTTATATCAACACAAAATTTATAAATAAAAATGTGTATGCAAATATATATGTGTATGTATATATAGTTTTTTGTTGATTATTTTACACATGAGTGAAAGAAAAATTTTCATACCCATGTAAAGTAAACATTTAATAAAAAAACATAATATTTAATATTGAGTCCAGAGACAAAAAAGCAGCAACAATTTACAAACATATGCAAATATGAATGCAGGAGTTGAAGTAACAAAGTAAACATATTTTTTATTATTTTTTATATTCAAATTGTTGAATTATACAAATAAATGTGTGGATGTATGCATGTTTGTTTGGGGGTATAAGGTAACATCATATTTGATAGTTTGCTAACGCTGAACACATCAAAGAGCCAGGTTTTTTTTGGCACAGCGAAAACGTTTACGTAACATTGCATTTAAATTAATACTAATTTAAAAATAGTTTTTAAAACTGTTAAATAAAAAAAAATATTTTTTAAAACTGTTAATATACATTTAACAATATTTAAAAGAAGAGATCTAAAATTTTCAAACAGATGGCAAACAGATGCCGGTGGCTAATAACTATATTTCTGGAAATTCGTAAAACAAACTGTGAGGGTGCGAGCTCTCATACATCAAACCAGTGAATTTTGCCAATTCAAAGGGTCATCGGGATTGAATATTTCCAAAGAATATTTTTCAAAGGTCGAATAACATTGTATTTTTAGGTTATTTTCGGAGAACCTACACATGTATATTTTTCCTAAGGACCATCATGCGGTAAATGAAAAACAAAATATATGTTTATTTTTATATTCCAAAGAAGCCTGTATTTGTTAACAAAATATATTTTTAAAGGACTTTTTGAACCAAAAGTGTTGATTTCGAGGGAACATTTTTTCCAAGGACCAATATATGAGATTTTTTGCAGATAAGATTTTTTTTAAAGAATCTGTAGCCAACGATTATTTTAAAGAATTTTTTTAAATTAATATTTTTAAAATGACCAACGTGTGTGTGACTATTAAAAAATATTAGACAAAGATCCACCAAATAATATTATTGAAAAGTGCAAATTTCTTTAGATATTAATTTCAAGGTTCGGAATTTCTTTTAATTATTATTTTTAACATTTTTTTAAATTATTATTTTTCAAAGGACCAACAACGTGGATTTTTTAAATTATTTGTTTTAAAGGACCAACAGGCGTGGATTTTTTAAAATATTTTTTTTTTTCATAGGACCAACAGGCGTGGATTTCTTAAATGTTTTTTTTTTTCAAAAGACCAACAGGCTTGGATTTTTCAAATTATTTTTTTTTCTTCAAAGGACCCAACAGTTGTGGATTTTTTAAATGATTTTTTTCAAAGGACCAAGAGGACGATTTTTAAATGATTTTTCTTCAAAGGACCAAGAGGAAGATTTTTTAAAATAAACAATTTTTAAAGGCCAATAGGAGTGACTTTTCTAAATTTTTTCAAAGAACCAACAGGCGTGGATTTTTTCAAAATTCTTTTTAAGGAGCAACAGAACCCCACAGGTGTGGATTTTTTAAATGATTTTTTTCAAGGGACCAAGAGGACGATTTTTTAAAAGTTTTTTTTTTTTACAAGGGCCAAGAGGACGATTTAAAAAAAAAAAACATTTGTTAAAGGCCAATAGGAATGAATTATCTAATTTTTTTCAAAGATTTAGATTTTTAAATTATTGGATTTTTAAAATTATTTTTTTTAATGTACCAACTGGCGGATATTTTCAGAACAATTTTTTTCAAATAAACCGTTTTCAAGGGACAAATAGGCGTTGATTTTTTAAAATAATATTTTTTCAAAGGACCAAAAGGGCATTTTTTCAAATAAACATTCTACAAGGGACAAACAGGCGTGGATTTAAAAAAATATATATTTTTTCAAAGGACCAAAAGGAAATTTTTTCAAATAAACAGTTTTCAAGGGGCAAACAGGCGGGGATTTTTTAAAAGAATATTTTTTCAAAGGACCAAAAGGACGATTTTGTTAAATAAACAGGTTTTAAGGGATAAACAGGCGTGGATTTTTTAAATCATATTTTTCCAAAGGATCAAAAGGACGATTTTTTTAAATATTCAGTTTCCAAGGGACAAAAACCTTTGGATTTTTTAAAAAAATATTTTTCAAAGGACCAAACGGACGATTTTTTTTTAATAAACAGTTTTCAATGGACAAACAGGCGTGGATTTTTTTAAAAGAATATTTTTTTTAAATGAACGATTTAAAGTATATAAACACAGTCGTGGGTTTTTTAAAATAATATTTTCAAAAGACCAGCAGGACTGGTTCTTTTAAAACAATATTTTTCGGAGGATCAACAGACATGAATACGTTAAAAGAATATTTTCCAGAGGACCAAAAATATTGATTATTTCAAAGAAAAATTGATATTTTTCAAAGGACCAACAGTCAGTTATAACAGTTTCAAAAGTTGATTATATCCAGTAACACGTTTCTGTCAAAAACAGCTGACCTCTTAATATCATTTACCACAAATAAAAAATGCATAAAGTGAATCGTTTACAATATTTCATTTCAATCATTTTAAATGTACATTCTCATATCACACTGACAAAATATTAACTGGTATTTACTTTTATATCTCTCTTGCTCTCTCTCTCTCTCTTCCTCTCTCTACAGATTTATCTTTTCCATTTTTTGTTGGTTTGTCATTAATTAAATTAATTGAATGCTCGAAGAATAATGCTATCAAAAGCTTTGTTAAACAAATACTCCCAAATAAACATATTAAAATAATTTTAATTCATTAAAATCTATGAAAGCAGAAAAACCTCCGTTCTTACTTGTAGGCATATTCCAGATTATCACCACAGCCACCCCAATTCCAATCGTCATGCAATTGTTTGGGTCGGGAGCCGCTGGAGCAGCCACACGATGCCAATTGACCATCACGGCAGGCACGTGCTATGAAACTGGTGACAGTGGCAGCGGCCAAGGCGTGTATGAAAGCCATTTCCGGTGAACCTAGAAAGAGAATAACGAAAATTAATTAAATGTTCATTAAAACGAAAAAAAATAATAAACTATAAAAAATATATATTTTCACGGTAATTCACCATTGGCAGAATTATTAACACCGCCAAAGGATACCATAGAGTAAAAATCTGAAAAAAAATGAAAATAGAATAAGCTGGCCAAAATTTCCAAGAAAAAATCTATCTTCATCTACTTTGTGTTAGTTGTGAAATATGAATAACATTATAACCGAAAATGTGACCCCTAATGAAGTCACCTGATGTTTTACTAATAAAGACATCCGTTTTTTATGACCCTGGCTATCTTTACTTTACTTTACTTGACAAAGTGAAAAGTTTTTCCAACAATTTGTGAATGGCATGCTTGCCCGCTTTTTTCGTTAGGTTGTCTTTTTGTTTTTGCCTTTTGTCATTATTTTATTAAGGATAAAGTTTCTGGAGACTTTTTGCCCAAACGCAACAAAAAGACTCGGGCAAGACAGCGTATAAACTAAATGAAGTAGAAAAAAAGAACGGAACTTTATTTCGCAGCATCAGGAAACTCTCTTCTTCTTCTTCTTTTTTAAATGGCCAATGACATTTAATTAATAATGAATGAATTTTCCTTTGAGCCGATCCAGCCGACTGGTTTTTTTCGCAAAGCCTTGGCCATTAAAGGTTGTTGCTGAGTGGCGATTGGCAGTGACAGTGAAAAGTTCGTTCTTTCATTTCTTAGCCTGTAATTGGCCGTTGGGCAAAAAGGAAATTCGAGAATTCTTAAAGCTCTTGATGGGGGAAATAATTTGAAGAGCTTTGTACAGGTTTTTCCGTATGCTCACACCTGAGTGGTTAATGGAAAGGGCAAAGAGGGTCCGAAGGACAAAGGAAGGATTTTACAAATTTCTAGAATAAAGAGGCGGAATTTAAAAAAATGAGCATCTGGCATGGATTTTTTAAAATAATATTTCAAAGGACCAACAGGCGTGGATTTTTTAAAGAATATTTTTTCAATAGACCAACAGGAGTAGAATTTTTAAAAAAATATTTTTTATTTCAAAGGACCAACAGGCGTGCATTTTTTAAAAAGAATAGTTTTTAAAGGACTAAGAGGCGGGGATTTTTTAAACACACTTTTAAAAAACTAGGAGTCGTAAATTTTTTTTCAAAAGAATATTTCTTTGAAAGAAGAAGGACTAAGAGGCGTGAATTTTTTAAAAGATTTTTTTCAAAGGACCAATATAGAAGAATATTTTTTTCAAAGGACTAAGAGGCGTGGATTTTTTAAAAGATTTTTTTTTCAAGGGACCAATATAGAAGAATATTTTTTATTTAAAGGACTAAGAGGCGTGGATTTTTTAAAAGATTTTTTGTCAACGTACCAATAAGCGTGGATTTTTTATAAGAATATTTTTTCAGAGGACTAAGAGGGGTGGATTTTTTAAAAGATTTTTTGTCAAAGTACCAACAAGCGTGGATTTTTTATAAGAATATTTTTTCAGAGGACTAAGACGCGTGGATTTTTGAAAAGATTTTTTGTCAAAGTACCAACAAGCGTGGATTTTTTATAAGAATATTTTTTCAGAGGACTAAGAGGCGTGGATTTTTTAAAAGATTTTTTGTCAAAGTACCAACAAGCGTGGATTTTTTTTCAGAGGACTAAGAGGCGTGATTTTTTAAAAGATTTTTTCAAAGGACCAACAGGATTGGATTTTTTAGAAGAATATTTTTTCAAAGGACCAATAGGAGTGGGTTTTTTAGAAGAATATTATTTCAAAGGACCAACAGGCCTGGATTTTTTAGAAGAATATTTTTTCAAAGGACGAACAGGCCTGGATTTTTTAGAAGAATATTTTTCAATCGACCAACAGGCGTGGATTTTTTCAAAGGGCCAACATGCGTGGAATTTTTAGAAGAATACTTTTCCAAAGGACCAACAGGGGTTGATTCTTAAAAGAATTTTTTTCAAAGGACTTTTTAAAATATTTATCCAAGAAGAGGAGATTTTTTTTTTAATATTTTTTTTCAAATGACAAAAAAACGACAAGCAAATATTCTTTAATAAAATATTTTTTTTTTTTTAATAAATTTCCTATTTTAAATTACTTCCCATCCATTCATATTCCGATACATTCCCCCTATATTAATTCCCTTTAAAAGGGATAACAAATTTCCTTATCAATCTGCTGTCAGTTATTATTACAGTTTGACATTTAGTTGACATACGCCCCCTCTCCTTTATACCGCCTCCCACACACACAAAAGGGAATTCAACACATTTCTGTGATTTCAATAATCATTTGGTTTTGCGGTCGGGTGATTTTTAATGAAAAAGTTTATTTAAGCCGATTACATTTTGAACATTTTATGCGCATCACTAATAAATAAATCAAAAGTGGTTAGAAAGATATCCTTTTCAAGGACTACAATTCAAGAGGAAATGAAAACCCCTCAAAAAAAAAAAAAAAGATGTTGGTTTGTTTCACAGTGGTTGTTAAGATTCCCCTTTTTGGCCTTTGTCTATAATTTTCTGGGAATTTCCTAGCACGCAGTTGAAATAATTGTTGATGGGGGAGGGTGTGTTGGTTGTTTGTGTATTTAAAAATGGAAAGGAAAAGCGCCCAACAGGTTCCTTTTTTTCCTTTTCCACAAAATTTTATATTTCCCATATCTTTTGCCAATCCATCAGGCAAACAAAAACCCGCTCTTTTCAAAAATTAAACGCTTAACAATTTTTTGTTTGATTCGCCCAGAAAATCTCAGCAAATGCCATAGCAAATTACTAATCGATTTGTGATGAGATCCTTTTTTCGAGGGAAAAACGGAACACAGCAGGAACATTTACATCATAATTATTAGTTTGAGGGTGTGTAGCCAGCCAGCCAGTCAATCCATCACCAAGTGATTCACAGCAACAAAAAAAACCATCATAATGGTTTGTTCGAGTCATTTTCGTTCCGGCGGAGGTGATGATTGATATTTGTCAGCATGTGTTTTTGCCAAAAACAATGGATTTTACATGGTTCGGAAAAGCATCATAATAATGATTGACAGTTTTGCATGGGTACGATGTCAAATTTGTATTTTTTATTTTGCAAAAATATTGGAATAGAGTTTATTCCAAAAAAAAAAAAAAATTGTAATTTGTAGGTATTTAAAATTAAGGGTCCAATAATGAGGATATCGATAAATAATCGACGAAACCTTCTTTCGGATACTTAAAAAAATCAATGTTCGGCTCTTTGGGACCTATTTTTTTGTAGAACCCGTTTTTATACACCTCACCACACTGTGGTATAGGGTATTAAGTTTTTGTGCATATGTTTGTACCAAACAGAAGGAATCGAGACAGACCGATGAATCCTTTTGAGAATATGCATAGAATCCCTTTTTGAGTCGATTTAACAAAGTAAGGTCGCATTTATGATCCAAATGGGATAAAATTTGGCACAGCTCATTTCCATGGTCCAAGGACGAACCCTATTGAAATTGGGAAAATCGGTTCAGATTTGGATATAGAATAGTGCACCAAATACCCCAAACATCTCTCGATTTGCACGAAATTTGGCATAGCGTACTGAATAAAGTCTAGAATGTTTTGTGCAAAGTTTCGTGAAAATCGGTTCCGAATTAGATATAGCTTCCATATATATTTTGGTCCGAATTAATGTAAATGGTGCACCAAAGTCGGTATATATCTTTCGATTTGCACGAAATTTGGCATAGCGTACTGAAATAAGTCCAGAATGCTGTGTGTTAAGTATTGTGAAAATCGGTTCAGATTTCGATATAGCTACCATATATATTTTGGTCCGAATTAATGTAAATGGTGCACCAAAGTCGCTATATATCTTTCAATTTGCACGAAATTTGGCATAGCGTACTGAAATAAGTCCAAAATGATGTGTGTTAAGTATCGTGAAAATCGGTTCAGATTTAGATATAGCTCCCATATATATTTTCTTCCGATTTTTTATATATGTAGAATATACCCATTTATATATTTGCTTATATTTTTTATTAATTTGACTAATATTAATATTTTATTTGCTTTATTTTTGGTATATAATTTTTTATTTTGAAAATCTCTGTAATATTGATTTGAACCTTTTACCAGTTTAATAGATTTTCTTTTCATGACCTATTGTATTTCCTTTGTCTTTTCCATTTCGGTCTTAGTTTGCACGGGATTTTGTTTCTCCCCCTCCCCGCGACTTATGAAACATGAGATGTTTACAAAAGATTTATCAATTATTTAAATTTTTAATAACAGAAAAACACAAAAAAAGATGACTACAACAGCAGCAGCAGATCATGGCAACTAACCAAAAGCCGAAGCCGCCGACCAATCAACAGTCAATGTCGACATTTCAACATTTGTGTTTGTTTAATAAAACATGACCTTTTGCGATGCCTTTGCATAAGCAAGTTTGTATTGCCATCCTCCACCCTCTATTGGAACAGGCAAAAAATTCGAATATTTGCATAGCTTCGATGGTTTCGATTACATACACACACTCATACATATATATTACTCATATATATTTTTTTGTTTGGTATGAGGGGGATTTGTATTTTTGATATTGAACTTTTGAAAGTCAAAAAACAAGGGAAAATATGCCAGTTGTGCGGTATGGTTATTAGAGCCATAGTGTGTATATATTTAACATATAACGGTAACAGCAGGCACAACATTCAAACGAAATAGTATTTATTTATTTTTTTTCTGCCAAAATGAATTGTTAAAGAAAAATTCAAATTGAAAGGAACCAAACTAATAACGAAACGAGAATAAAAAACAAAACTGAATTGGAATACAAAAAGATCGAAATCAAAATGTTTGTTTTGTATACAAAACAAAAAAAAAATGTGTTTGAAGATAGGAATCAAATAACCACGCACCCCCTCGCAAAAAAAACCAACCATTCATGCTTGCAGTCACAGCATGTTGCAATAGCATATAACATATCCTTGCCTATGATGATGACGATGATGTTGTTGTGTAGTGGTGGT